TCATGTTAGAAAGGTCTATACAAGAAGTTCTTAAGTGAAGCGTCACTGCCTGAATGGGGCCAGACTGATTCTCCACGGTTGCCAGAAAAGGGAGCTCGTTGTATAGTCTCATTTTCAAATTTGAGCAATCCACGGAGCATAGACGCCTAAATTCCTCCAATTTGGAGAACTGTGGTAATACGGATAAGTTGGTGCCACGGCAAACAAAAATAAATGAATCGAAACATCATTTAAAACGTTTACCAGTCTTCATCACGCTTTGGAAAAACAATTAATAAATTTCCAGGGCCATTTAAGAACCACCTTCAGCTGCACTTTTCATGGCTTAAGGGTGGCTGAAAATCTGCAGGTGTTAAGGCAATACTAAGCCAAGAGTTTCCATCGTTGTGGAATTTTCTAGCAGTGAGTGGCTGTTGCTTTTAAAAAAGTAACTCCGCACAAGTAACCGTAAACCTATTACCGACTTGACTTGGTGAGTTAAATGCAAACGCCTTTGTACTACTAATCTCCGGTTATAATAAAAGAAGGCTTGTCACAAGGAAAGGAGAGGGAGTGAAGAAATATCGCAAAGTTGGACACAAAATGTTTTAGAGCAACGGAAAAACCTACAATTATTGCTTCTGTCTCTATTTTCGTCAAAAAGGGCGCAGCCAGTGACAAATCACTTCAGCTATCCTCCACTTAATTCTACAGCATATTGTAAATTATCCTAGAAGAATTTTTTATTTGCCTTCAAGGACTTCGGACATTGCGGTGTCGTAAAATTGCAAAATAGATGACGCCAACGGAAGTTGTAGCATCCTCGTCAACCAGGCAAAACAATAAAGCACCGTGAGGGAGAATTAAAGAATAATAAGGATGCGAATTACTCAAAATGCAGTCACTGTGCATATGTGAATAGCTTCAGCACCTCCTCGACTTTTACGGATATTTCAACTGCTTGTTAAACTTTCCAAAGCAGCTGCTCACACTACTGCACAGTGAATGGTGCGGCCCCACTATCTCATCGCATTTTGGCAAAGTATCCGTGTAAAATGAGACTGCCACAACGATTGCTTTGACAAAATGCACAAAACGGACACTCCCAACAGGCACAATGGGGAAATTAAGTTTAGGCCAAAAACTACAATTCTACAGCATTTCTGTTGCATGAGACGAAGCATAACGGCTCATCGCGAATTGTCGGGGCACACGTTACACAATTGAAACGCCGCGCTCTTGCAATAAAGTCAGTGCATCGAATACACGGGTACATTTGCCACTGCTAAAATAAGTGATAGTGTAAGGCATCTAATATTAAACTTGGTAACCAAATGCAACTTAAATTGAACTTCGAAGTTTATTGCTACTCGTGGATCGACAGAGTAGATACTTCGCCACAAAAATTTCCTGTGCAACTTGCGTATTGCTCCTACAAATGTGCGCTTTCACCCATTCCTGATGATTCTCTGTTCCAGATTTTATCATGATCGTAAAGTTTGCAATTGAAAAGGAGGCTCTTTATGTTTAATGACGTAACTATTTATACTCACATTGGATCAAAAACAAGCAACTATTAATCTGTGGCTACTCTTGTGTAGATACCCCTCGAGATCGTAGCAAAAAATGCGGCACTGAGAAAGCGGGCAATTATTTAGGTGTACTTGGGGTACAATAGGCCTAGTAGAAGCGCTGGTGTCACATCAGTTACGCAGTTCGGTAACACAGCTGCACCACCTTGATTGAACCTGTACAACACGTTCGGAATACCACCCGAAAAACTACAAGAGTGGGAAGTCAAAACGTGTAATTCAGCTACAAAACTCGGCGGAAATGCAAAATGAATGACTGGCCGGTTGAAAAAGACATGTTACACTTTTCTGTGTACACGAAAACAGTGGCTCCAATAGAAATCAAAGTCTACTATTTGACGAAAATGAGGCCCTGGGAAACCACATCTGCACCATTTCAATATTAATACGATCCTGAATCTTCTCATATTTTTTGCCCATGTCATTGTTTAAGGTATATACTGCATGTGTATTAGCCAGAGGCGCATGCACATGTAAGGACGAGTTGACATTTTGATAAGTAAAGTACACATCTCCCTTAATCATCCAGCAATGGGTTTTGGGAAGACTGCGTTATCAAGCCAAGTTCCCAATATCAGCAGTGCTTTCTACCTCTTTATCAAAACTGTTTGCAATCAAATTGACATCTCTTCTCGAGTTACGAAACTGCACCAAAATTGTTGCCTTAGGAAAGCAAAACTTACCTGAATGATTTGAGAGGATATCTTTGTGCTTTCCGGAATTATAGCAAAGTATACGGATTCTTCAAACAGCGGATCGTTGTCGTTCACATCTTGTACATTAATAATGACACCGAGGGAACCAGTGTTTGGTTCGTCTCCTCCATCCCTTGCAATGATGCTGAATTTGTAGTTGGGCTCAACCTCACGATCAAGTTCTTTCTTGAGCACGAGGTAGAGCTTGCATGCAGTGACATTCCACACCATTTCAAATTCTGGCAGCACGGGCCACATCTCATAAGAGATGACTTTATTTGTCTCCGAGTCAATGTCAGTTGCTAATGGAAGATCGATTATATTTCCCAATTGTAAATTCTCCGAAATGTTGAGATTAAGCTCTAATTTCCCCTAAAATGATAACCATTTTAAATTTGAGTTTGGTAAGATAATGAACAACAAAGAGGATAGCGAAATTGTATTTGTTTAATTCAAAAATTCTGTGACAAACCAGTTTAGACTAATAGCCTC